AGCTTCGGTTTTATTAGAGAAAATTAAGTCTAATGTTTATTATTCGGTTTATCCAATAGAAATACTTAATGCATGATTGCATTTGTTACATTCATTGAGATGAAAGCTTCCGTTTTTTTTTAACATAAAAGCTTCATTATTTTATTTTTTTAATAAATTATTCGAGTTTTAGCAGTCAGTGTTCGTGTGTTCTTTGCGACTTTTTGCTTTGCATATGACATTTAGAAAAATTACATTTGAACTTTCTGAATAACTTTCAAAGAAACTTGCGAATACGAAAGAGTTTTGTTTGTTACAATCGTACTAGTTTATTGTAGTCGATATTAATGCTTAATAGATGCTCGATTTGTTTTCGTTTTCCTTGCATTACGTATAATGGATGCACGGAAACACAACAATGCCACATGTAATTCGTATGCAGGTCGTTCGCATTTTGCAAGCATATGTGTGTGCATTGAAGACCAATCAAATTGCACGATGGATAATCGCACGGCGGGATCTTGTTTAGAAAATCTCACTTCGGCTTTGATTTAATGCGAACTAATGAAAGTTATTTTAATCAAAGTCGGAATTGTATTTGATCCATCAAATAACAGTATTAAGACGATATATTAATTCACAATTATTTCAAGCATATTACAATAGCAGTTTATAAAATTAGATTTGCCTTCTTTGAAGCTATTTCTATGTTTTGACTGTTTTTTAATTACAAATATGCAGTGATGAATCTGTGATTCATCGATAATCACAAAACTTCGCAAAATTCTTAGTATCATGTTTAAAACAAGTCGAAACATTATTGATAAATGTCGGACTTTAATTGGTGGCATTGCAATTATCCAAATATTGATGTTAAAATACATCTCAAGATCATATGAGATTTCTTTAATAATAATTTATTATTTCTGATTTACCTGAATTTGATTTCAAAACGTTGTTTTGACTTACCTGAACGATCACATCTCAATTCGTAACTGTAGCCTATTAAGGAATAGAAGTATTTTTCACTGCATGATACCAATATTTAATATTATTTACAAACTTGTTTCTGACATAAGATCTTTCACAGAAGATTTTTTGTCTTTTCGTTTGTTTTTCCTAAGGTAACACGTATTATAAAATGTGCGTTTATATGTTTGTTAGTTTCAATTATAAAAGTTGTAAAGCAATCGTTTCGGTTTTGTTATATCATCGGTGGTCTCACCGAGCGAATGAGTAATCCGTTGCATAATGATAATTTCCTAATTTGTACGTGGTTAAGATACGGCGAGTTATCAGCTTGTCCTGGAATGCCCGTTTCGCAGGCCGAGCGAAATCAAATTTCCTTTGGCCGTTGCAGCAGCGGCAAAAGGAGGCAGTCGGTGAGTGAGCTCCGTAAAATTGTCACCGTAAGTTTTTCGCTTAGAACTCGGAGAGCAGAAACCTGTTTCAGTATTGACACATGCAGACATCATTTGAGAACTAATCAGAACTTGTTCAAAGCTATATGTCCATAAAAATCAACATTAAAATTATGCTCGCCGGTTCGACCGTCTCGTACCATATTTACTATATAATTGACACATGTCAGCATTAAAACCACCCTGGATACGAACAAATAAATAATTAAATAAGATAAAGGAAGACCGTTGACTTTAAAAGAAATATACTTGAATTATCCGGGTGAGTATTTTTCTACGATACATTTTGTTACAATTGTAAATGCATTTTGAATTATTCTTATACAAATGATGAATATGATAATTTTCAAAAACCCACATGTGCAACAATCATCGATGTAAACTAATTGAAGCCATTAAGTTAGTTTCACATTATGCACATACAACGAGCGTGTAATTACAACTCAGTTAATTACCTACTTATTAATATTAATAAATAAATTAAAAAACAAATAAAGAATGACGAGGACGTTGATAAATATTTAACTGTTTTTGGAATATCACATGGTTGTGTGAAACGGTCGCAAAGAGCGGAGGAAAATGGCGAAACGAGTTTAACGTCAGTGCTACGTGCGGCAATTATTATGTATATTAGCAACAATAAATAAATACTCATATATATATTTTTGCTAGCAAAATGGAACAATTAGCGACTGTTCTGGGTAGAAAGGTGAACAAACTTGCGTCTCAAAGTTCAGATGAAAATCAAACAGTGTGCAATAGAACGTCGTTGTGGTTTCATTTTTATAATTTGTTTCTATAATTTTTTTTGCATTATTTTTCCGTCGTCTCTTCTTATTGTTTTCGCCGAGTCCGCATAATTAAGTTATGTAAGCCCGTGGACCTTGGTTATTAAAAATAAATATACACCGCTGCACAGTCTTCGCCTTTTTATTATTTAAATTTACAAACATTCCGTAAATGTATACGAACGTTCGTACGTTACGAATACATTCATATACACAATTTGTGGAATATACATATTGTAATATAATATCAACATGTGTACTCGTGTGTTGGTGTTTACACTATGACATCAGCTTATTGTAAGCTCTCCAAACTCGTATTTATATTTAGTACGGAGGAGACTGGCAGTCTAAACTGAATTATCATATGGAGAAACGTTCAGCTGCGAAAACCGCAGAATACGTCTGTGTTTCCACGATGATGATGCTTATGGATGGATTCATTAAATCCATGCCTGCGTACCCTTGTAAGGAATTACCAATAATATTAATAAAGCTCGTCGACAACGGTCAATGACACTTTATTCTTACTACATTAGGCGTAATTTACGTAAGGTATTAACATTTGTCACGTGGATGTCCAATTTGCCTAGTTGATTGTGTTTTATTTTTCTTGAAAAAAAAATAACCTTTGTAATGAACAAATTAATGAATCAATTCTGTTACACGAATTAAAATAACAGAACAAAATGCTATTATTTACACACAAGATAACTTTAATACATCTAAAAGATATCATTTTAAAATTAATGAGAAAAAATATTAAATTTAAAACCTTTGGTTACATGGTTTTTAATGCAATTTTTGTATAAGCAAATGATGTATATACAAAAAAGCAACTGTGATTAAACAAAAATAATGTGTGAATTAAGTAAAGAAAAGAAGAATATTTTGAAATCAAGAAAATGAAAATAATAAAACGTTTCTCCTTTTTGAACTTTCACTGAATCTGTATTAAAATGCACAAAACAAAGGCTAAGTGGAAAATAATTGAATCACTTCGTGTTGAATATAAGCGAATTACATAATTTCCCGTAATTATATTTCAGTGAAATAAATAAAATAACGTTTTTGGCAAATGTTACTTGCAGTAGTAGTAGTTGTGAACATTTTTACGATTGTCGATGGTGAAATGCGATTGATGGATGGTAAAGTTCAATAACCTAGGCCAACATTGTACACATAGAAATGTTTCCCAGTTCGAGGCATTAAATAATGCAAGGTGGAATCTTTGGGTGGTGCACGTTGGGAAAGGGTTCTAGAGGTGGGCAGCAGATATGTATGAAAAATGTAAATCGTTTGGAATTGAAACAGGCGACATTATGTATTATGAACGAAGAATGGATGGAATATAAAGTCGTGGGGAAATAAACATTTTATAAATTTACGAGAAATCAATTACTTGCACGCAGCAGTAGACATTCAAGTCGCAGACTGCACGACTGAAGACTGGTATGCCGCACCGCACCGTCCCGTCCCGTCCCGTGTCCACCACCCCCTTCACTCCTCTTCGGTGCCGCCGCCACCGCCGCCCCCCACGGCGCGACTGAAATTTATTATTTTTCATTGTATCAATTTTAATCAGGAGAGCAAAAACGCATTCGGAATTAAAATGCTCCGCTCCCCAGGCAAACTTTCCTGTATATGCCAAGTTGGTTTTAATTTTGAAAGTGCATATGCCTGTAAATGTTTGTTTTGCGCGCGTCCGCCGACGCCTCAGAGTTAACTAATTCCAAAAGTGTCTCTAAACTGCGAGGGGGAAGTTCGGGGTGGTTTGTTGCTGTGGGGTTGTTTGGTTCGTCCATCGGCTGAATCCGTTTCGTTCATTATTTCAGACTTCAATTAAAGTTTCACATTTTAATAATGGGATGACACGGAATCATGAGTATTTTAAAACGGCTTCATAATTAAATATGTGGGAATGTAGGAAGGTGGATAGTGGATGTCGGACGTCGTCGCCGCCACCGCCGCATGCGAACAATTTTTATTCAAATAATATTAAATTATAGTGCATTATTATAAGTTCAGCTGCGGTAATAGACTTTCTTAGTAGGTGGACAGACGTAATGGGAAAATAGTTGAATGCAAATGAAAAAAAAGAATAATGACGGAAATTCTGTTTAGAGTGGAATCGATTTCGTACATTAAACTTTCAAATGACATCTGTTATTGATAAAGTTTAAATACAGTAGATTTCATATCGATTATGATAGAATTGATTTAAACAATTGTTATTACGATTATTATTTTTTATTGGACTCTGCAAGTCTATATTTATTTTTTTGAGTGTTGAATTATCGATCGGCTGGGGGGTGAATTTTTTGGCGTGTGTGCAAAATAAAAGGTACGAAAAAAAATGTCGACTTCCCTGAAGGGCCTTGTTTACTTCAAGTTGATGTTAAAACAATAGACCGTCTGGCAATGCATTATTTCAACAGACTTGAGGGAGAGTGAGTGTGAGCGAGAAAGAGAGAGTGAGAGGGTGAAGTGAAGGGAAGAGAAGGAGAGGAGCTTTGCCATAGTATAGTATATAAAATGAATGCGTTTTCGCATTTCATTTCCTTATTTATGTTAATTCAGTTCCATTGCATTGTGGAAAAATGCGATAAGATTTTCTTTTTTAAAAAAAGCTAATTTACCGTATTTTGCATAAGTTATGTATCTTTGTTTTATATTCACTGTTCGTGCATACAAATTAAAATTGCCCCTACTTATTATATACATATATTTTTTATGTGCGCAATGCCAGAACTGAAGAAAAAAATAATAAAGTGTTGTATGGGCATAACATAATTTCCTGCGTTTTGTATTACAGTTATGGATGAAAGGATCTGTAACATATCTCCTGCTGATACCGGCTGCTCCATGGAAAGTCCTGCCCCGGATAACCAGCAGGACGCCCACAGTTCCGAGGAGGAGCTGGAGGTCATAAATAATACGAAGGAGGAGCGGGCGTCTCGTCCTCTCAGGTCCGCCGCGAGTTTAGCGGAAAAACGGAAATGGTCGCAGATCGGAAGCGATTCTATCCCGTACACGACGAGGAGGTGTTCGCCGGAAAACGAGGAAAATATGTCGCACTACGGTAACCTGAGTCCCTGCTGCAAGTATAACGATGATGCCGTCCACGTCGAGCATTCGTCCGATGAAGAAGTTCACAACCTGCTGGCCTGCTTGCCGACACCGGTGCAATTCAGGACGTCGCCCCCGCTGGAGGCGGTGAAACCGGGCGGCAGGACGCCGTACAATAATAGATCTCTTAGTCCACCCCAGAAGCTCATACACTGCGAAGTGTCCTCGCCAAGGAAACGATCCAAACACACGAGGCACGTGCCCGTGCAAAGGCCACACTTAGATTTTGAAAAAATGCAGGTAAGACCAATCACAATTCAATCTTAAGTCTGTCTGTAATTGTACCATGTAAATTTATTTAAATGGATAAAATGTATAGAGAAAATGAATGAAGCTACAAAGCAGAACATGCATATTACTCTGAAAGACAGTAATTTTGCTCAGTTGCCATACAGTTGTCAGTTTAGTTTAACTGTCATTGAACTTTATTATAACAAATAGTGTTCGTACATTCGCTAATTGTTTAAATCACGTCGGGAATTGTGTGGATGTAACATAAGTACTTATCAATCATTTAAAATCAATACGTTTACTTTAAATATTGCGGGTTTTATATTTAGTTAATCTTAGAAGAGATCTTATGTATGAAAATCAATACTTAAGACTTGTCACGTGTCAATCCACATCGGATATAACATTATCAATAAAATGTTATCAATTAATCTATTATATATTTTTATCTCGAGTACTAATTATCATCGATATCTGGATATTGCTTTCATTGATCTGTCTCATTACTTACTATTATGTTATCTCGTAATATTTCAATCTGAATTAAAGCTCCTTATGTTTACCTATGAACAATTTACCTGAATTGTAATTATATACATCTTATTTGAAATATGTCACATTTTATACATACCGAATCATACTTGACAAGTTATTTAGCAAGTATTAATTACTTTTCAACTGATTTAAGATTTAAAAAATCATTTATTTTATATAATATACTGTCAATTCATTAAAAAATTATAATAAAATATTACTATTTATTATACAATTATTTTTGTTATATACATTTTAAAAGACTTTTTTCTATGGTTGTAACTGAATCTACTAATATTTGTGGAATTATTCAAAAATCACGCCACTTTATTTTACTCATATCTATATATGTAGGAATTATGACTACTTTTGTTCCATAGATAATTTGCAAATTATCTTTCCGACTTGTCCAAATTTTCCGTCGTTTATCAAGTGAAGTAACAAACTAATAATAAGATATCGAAGCAACAATTGTATACAGTTATAGGAATAGTGTATGAATCAATTTTATCAATGAGCCATAAAACAAAAACACTTATGATAATATTTAAATATATCTATATATACTCACATTTAAAGTACAGTTTCTAAGGATAAGGAAAATCAAAATGACCATTCGGTAATGGTATTACGGCATTGATATTGTAGCATTACGTCAACTTGCTTGTGTAGTATAAAAATCGTAAAGCTTTCAAGCAATAATATTCATAATAAAAATGGAGAATGTAGAAGAAGAAAAGTAGTTATTCGAATTAGCATATGCTAGCCAAAAAACTAGTATCGGAGCAGAAAATAAATTGCGGAATTTGTTTATAGTTTCGGTTTTCGTACTTTAAATTTCCAAAGCCAAGGACGTTTATTTATATCAATTCTAAAAATGCTTAATGAACGTGCATAATTTGATAATGCCAGCGGTTAACATGTGTTTCGGCATCATCATTCCGCTACCATATTGCATATATATATTTGCTTGGATAGATGTTCTCGTCTGCGTGATTTCCTATTAGTCTATATAAAATAAAGAACAGGGTGAAATGGAGTATAGTGTTACGCAGATCGTATGTTCCATTTGCTCATGAAATAAAAAAAAACGTATTGATCTGGATGCAATTTCTATTTGCCTCTTTGATTGCTCCAAAGTTGACGCTCTTATTTAGTGTAGACCAACGTCGAGTCTCTAAATATAAACAACTTGTTTTTTTTGGCGTGTAAACGTGCTTAAATATACCTTGTAATAAATCTTCTAAAAATATTATCAAATAGATTAGATTAGTTTAATTAATTTCTACTTCCACATTAAATTTATTATTATTTTATACTTTCCGTGTATATTTCAAATAAGAGTTTAATTCAATTTGTTAGCGTCACAAAATGTGGCTTTTTGTAAGGAAAGTGACTATGTTTGTTTTTCAATACAGATAATTTGAAGTCATCAGTCACTGATTGAGAATCGCTGTCTTGGTCGGTAAAAAGCGCATCCTGCGGTTTTAACGCTAATAAATTGTTCGCAACACGTCTCATAATCTTTTTCACGTCACCATGTTCGAATGCACATTGCGTAGCTCTTGGTGGTACGTGAAGGCCCAAGGGGATACGTGAGGTAAAAATATAATTGATTCCATCCACCGCGAAAGTGGTTTATCTATTTTAATAAATCGCTATGTTCCTTTTTTTTGATTCAGTATTTTTAATCGCATTCAATTAGAAAAGAGCAATGCACGTTAGAGTATTAAACATTGAGCTGAAAGGGCCGCTCCGGTCATGTTATTCGGAGAACCGATATTACCGGGGTTCAGTTCGCCGAATCCCCCATATTCACTTCCCGGAAAGGTTCCGTACAGCAGAATTTGGAAACGGATTACAACGCTATTCTCCAAATTGCGAGAATTATGTTTCCATTCCAGTTACGAGATATACAATATTTATTTGGACATCGATCTATTAGTTTATTCATCCGTGCTCAAATCGTTGAAATTGCATTATAATTGAAGCCACCACCATCGAAAATACAAGATGTACCATAACTTATTTAACATTATTAAAGATATTCAAAATCGAAACAAAAGTTGATATTTTTTTTAGTCAAAGATTGATTATAATATAAAAAAATACATGAACGTTATAATGAAGACTTTTCAGATTATTTATAAAATCAGAAACGTGTTGTTTTTGAACAAAAATAAATTCTGAAAGGACAATTAATATTGCATAAATGTCACTGAAACAAGTATGTTCAAAGAAATGGCTTGTAGCCAAAAAAAAGACAGTAGTGCTGAAAATGAACCAGGTGTATTTAACAACACCTGGTCTATTTTCCTTGTCATGTAAATATTCCAATGTATTCGAACAACTACATGTTATTCAGTATTTATTTTAGATGAGTATAATGTGTGTTTATTAATATTATTCAAATTAAATAAATTTATTTTGATATAATGAATGGATTTAATAAAACTTTCTGAAATATACAATATAGATTAAGCAGTTGTTAATAATAACATTTATAATACATTTAACTTTTTGACGTTATTTAATTTTGCATTTGAAATATGAATCTTTGCGGATATTTGTGGATATTTTTTTTAGTTTAATTTAATAAGAACCTGTTTTGTTTGGTGTCGCCGGAATGAAATAGTTTTAGTGTTTTAGAATGGGAAGAAACATGGAGGAAATATGTAAATCCTGAGTGGGTTTCTGGGGATGAAAATCTTTACGCCGGGACAGTTTTTTGGAAAGGATTTTTCTTTTTCCTGCAGCCAACAAAGATGGATATCTCTCTATCTTTTTATATATAAATATACAGATGCATACACACTTACACAAACGTACAGTGTATATATAAATACACTTGTTGAATTTAGAGTGGCGACTGAATATAAATTAAAATTATTGATTCTGTTTCGGTGCACGGATGAAAATATGAAAGTCTTTCTGGGATTGTGCAGGGAGTGCAAGGGAGGGACTGGGCGTTTTTTTATGTCAATGGAACATTATATTTCCCTTAAATCCAAGGAACTTGACAATGCTGCTTGCTTCCAATTTACGGGGATTGGTGCAGACTGAGTGGCGAGATGACAGTAACAACTGAAAATTCTGAAAGACAGAGTGTGTATTTGTGTGTGTGTAAAAGTAGAAGAGATAGAGGAAAAAAGTAGAAGGTTGGGGAAAAAAAGTACGGGGTTGATGTTGGTTTGGCCGTATGGCATCGAAATATAGGGTTGACTTTTCTATAGGGGCGCTTTTTAAATATTTCAAGTGGTTGAGTTAATGACGAGAAGTCGGGAAATGCAGTGACGCGACTTCATCATCTTTTACTTCATATCGCATTGATCGCCACGCCACTCTTTCACCCCAGTTTTTACCCTGCACTCCACATCTCCCTTCCTCACAATTTTTTTTTTGCCACTACCACCCGGCTCCCATTCTTCCGCTGCCGCCACCACCGCCGCCGCCCACTCGACAACAAAATCTCGAAATGGAATATCAATTATTTTCCAATGTGCATTTCCATCCGTGTGCTTGTTTCAAATGCGAATTCCACAATTTCGATTCAGCATTTGAAATCCGTCCGCGAAACGTGCGGAGCCGCACGTAATGACTAATTTACGGAACGAGTCGTGGTAAAAAGAAGCAGCAGCATTATGTGAAATGGAAATTTTTGATGCCATTAATTTATTAGACAGATAAAAGTTATTTAGGTACATGATGTAAATACACACGACGTCGTAGTTGGTCGTAGTATCTGTATGCATGCGATGTGTATACGTGTACGCCACACACTCACGGTTTTTGACGGTGAAGGTCGTCGTTATTGAGGCAGGTTTTGTATGTATGTGGTTATATATACATATATATATGACGACCGTGAACGTCCCCGAAACGTTTCTCATTTTACCACTTTCCCACCTCTTCATCAACTAATGATTTTTTTATTGTTTATTCCTGGAAGTCGGCCAAAAAGTGCTTAAAATATTGGTGCCCGAAAACTCGGGGCATCTCCCTTTTTTTTCCCATCGCGGATTTATTTATCATTTACTATTTGGTCGTAACCATATTCAGTGTAGCTTGCTTGGCTTACATTCCTGGCCGTGCATCAAGTAAACGTGCATCAAGAAAATGCTTATATTGTTGGAAACCAAAGTTCATGTTCAAGCCAAATTATTTATTTTTAATTTTCAATAATAATCATGACGCGAGGAGTATATATGGTTTTAGAACGTACTGCCAGCACAGAGCCGTGCCAAATTTTCCTCTCCAATTTCCCCTTCGGTTTATATTATTCACCGCAAAAAGCGAAATTTTCTTTCGTAAATCCTGCCCTGTCCTGTCTCTACTTCTGTTTTGCAAATAAACAGCGTTCCCCTCGCAATTTCTTATCGGACATTTGTATTAGTTAGGATTTATTTAACTTCCTTTACGTGCACGTTTATTTTCGTAGTATTAAAGTTAATCTACTTATTCCAACTACTAGTCGCATTATTACCCAAAAAAAGTAAACTAGTTGCCGAAAAGTAGTTACCAAATAATATATAATTAATGTGTTTTCATTTTAGTTACAAAACATTAGTAATTATTACGTGTTTCTAAAAATAATCTGAGCGTTGTATTTTGCGTAAAATCGATACATTCACTGATGTTAGAAAGTAATTTTAAAAATACTCCCTCCGTTTTAAATCACGTTCATGTATAACATTTATATTAAGTTATACGTTTCAATATCTTTTTTTTTTCATTTTATAATGTGTTGATCTTGAGCTGTGAACTAATAATTTATGATGATTTGTTTCAGTCGAAAGCGAAGGCTGCGGTCGCCTGGAAACACAGCGGAGACCACGGTGGTGAATTATCAGTGTATTGTTGGTGAGAAGGACTTCGGGGGTGTTCTAGAGGGACACCCTGTCAGTGTTATAAATTATCAAAAGAGTTGGATACCACCTCTGAAACTGGAGACCTCCAACCAATGGCTACAACTTCAACACAACAATAGTTTTCTTCTTAACAAAATAATAATTAATAATAATGAAAGTGATGTTTAGGACCTTATTATATCAATTACGAAACGGTCATTTTAAAAATGATTTAAAATGAGAATGATGGCATGAGAAAGGAATAAAGAGGGGAGCGAGAAGGAAATAGTAATAATAAAAAGAGTAACACAAAAAATTGGGTGAAAAGTGAATTTAGTTGCTTGGGTTTAATAATAATAATAAATACAAATTGTATATAATATAATTTTAAAAAACACCTTAAGTTCAATTTATACTTAAAGAAGGAAGATTCGAAAGGAATAAAACGTTTTACATTTGTTCGCGATTTAGGCATTTTGTGTTTTTGAAATCAGAAATTTGAAGTAAAATAAATCAATATATTTTCTATTATCCATTAAGCTATATTATTCTGTATGATGGTTGTTCGACTCATCTTTTAAAACAAAATGCAAGCGCCGACCGATCGACGTGCCACTCTCGTTGGCCTTTTGAACAACAAGGTGTGTGCGTCGAGAGGACGACGTCTCGTCGTGCTTTATTTCAAATACATTTTAGTTTTAAAAGGTGAATTCAAAGTGGAATAAACTAGAGTAGAATTATCGCAGATGTTTATACAGCTTTTATATAAAAAAAATTGTTTAAAGGAGAAGGAAGAAAAAAAACATATAATGTTTAAGCAATTTAAGAGCACTGATAGTTTCCTGTCACTTGTAATAGTAGTTGAGTGTTTTATAAATAGATTTAGTTTTATCTAAATGTTAAAATAAGCCATACTTTTGCCATATGCAGAATAAAAGCAGTCTCATTACTATTTACAAAGAAAATACAAGAGAAAACAAACAAAAAAAAAACAAGAGGAAAATTGTACCTAAAGAAAAAAGCTGCCAACAACTGCTTTCGAGTTGTTGATTTATTTATTTCAAAAACAAAACATAAGCACAAACTGCCATCTATTTGTGTGAAGAAAAGAAGAAGCATATATATATTTTCATTGTTTTTCAAAATTATATTTTTTTATTACGAAACGTTGGCTACAAAATGTTTGTTTTTTTTTGTTAAATATTGAAAATGAAATGAAAGGACAAACAGATTTTCCCGAAGCAATTCCGCGTCAAAAATTTTCGATTCATCACATTTTGGACAAATTTCCGATAAAAGACTAAATTTCTCAAACCAAAAACATATTTTTTATACAAAATGAATCTCCACGAATTTTAAACTTGAATTGTTTCGTTGCGAAAACGAGTTATCTATTTTAAGGGCCATTAATTCTATTTTAATTTCGTATATTTTTTGTTAAATATTTAATAAATGAATAATATTTAGTAGGACTTTTAACAAATTGATATATAAATATATATATATATATGTGTATGTATATATATATATGATATAAGTATATATACATATAAATACATAAAAGACTTTTTTAAATTGTGTGTGAGTGAAATATTTGATACAACAACAAATACGGTATGAAACTAGATTGTGTTAATATTAAAAGTACAGAAATTATTGTCTGATCTGTATGTTTATACCAATATAAGCTGATTTAATGTGCAGAGCTATTATTAAAAAAAAAGGAAATGGAGGTATGAGAAGAAAACCATCTTTGTATAATAAGTTTAAGTATGTATGTTTGTAATTAATATTTTATTTGTTTACTTTCTGTAAGAATGGTTTTCATTATATCTTTCAAGTGATATGTTTTAAAAGTATTTTGACTAATTTTTCTGAATCTTTTTGTGATATATCAAAGTTTATATAAATTATATATTATATATTGAATATATTGAAGAAAAAAAAAATGATATCGATGGAACTTTATTATTCGCGTCACACAAAAACTTGAGCAAATTGTCGTGTTTACTTTATGGTTTTTGTGTGACCTCAGCACATTTCTGATGAAAATTTATAGTTGCAATATATAAGAATTTTAGTAATTTTTAATTAAAGACTAACAAGAAAAAAATACAAGTTTACCTAATAAATATTTTTTATCATTTTAAATGTCATTTAATTTCTTTCACGTTTGGTTCACGACCGTCGATGTTACAATTTCAGGGGAAATCGGAGTGTGCTGTTTGAATGTTGTCAAGATTTAGGCAGTTTGAAATTTCGCATGTGGTCAAAGGGAAATTCCGTTTTGGCTTCTTGTAAATTAATAAATGGCATACATTTCGGACAGACGCTGTAGAACGTGCTGCTTCGCCTATAATTTCGATAGGGAAAATAGCGTGAGTATTTGAAGGAATATTAAGATTGTTGGTAAATTTTCTGTAACTTTTAGTTTGTATCTTTTGACAGCAGTGAAGAGACTTCATCGGATTGTTGGTCGGAGGAGGTAGAATCAGACATGTATCAGAATGGATATAGGAATAACAGCAGCATTTATGCGCCTATGGAGCAGAAAACATACAAGTACAATGGGAACAGTTTCCAGAAATTTTACGATGAACGCACCGACTATTTGTCCAACAAATTTAATAATCTCTCATTAGCTAATGATATGAGTAAAAATTATAGTGCGTGTCCCGTCCATTCGAAAACGAACAGGAAACCAATGAACAAGTACACTTTGGAGGAGTCTTATTGGGCCATGTGGAAGCCCAAAAATAAAACAGAAAGTAATACCAGTTATCAGCAGCCATCTATGGCAAAAGTGGAAAGCATCAGCAAACCCAACGGATCCATGCTTAATACAGTCAACATAGGCAACGTACCTATGCTTAGCAATGTAAATATGGGTAACGTATCCATGATTAGCAATGTAAATATGGCGAACATGCTAAGCAATGTGAACATGGGCAAATACGTCCAGTGCAAGAATTGTTTCAAATACATAGAAAGAGATAATAACAAAAATTATTCAACGAAGTGTTTATGCTGCGCGCATAAAGAATTTTACGAGACCGATACTGATTCCGCAGCTTATAGGAGGAATGGGACCATTCAAGAGGATGACGAGGAGGAGACGGAAACACAGGGATACAGTGGTGAGACTACCGGTTTTATGACCAGCGAAGATTATTTGACAACAACGGAAACACAGGATTACTCCGCCAGGAATCAATCTGATCAATCTAACAAGAATAAGAGGAAAAGCTCTGCGGCCAGTTCACGACATGCCAGCAGGCAGCAATCGAAGACGGAAACGCTTTTGGAACCCAAAGCTATAGAAACTCAGTCCGGCATTATTAGTCCGGTAGTTGTGAACCAAAGTGAAGTAGAGGAAGGTGCATACACTTGGGAGCAACCGGAATTAGATAAGGACCAAAATGACTATCAGCAAGGCGACTCGAGGAATCTTGTAACTTCTAATAAGCCTTATTACGATAATTATCAGAATCAAAGTCATGAAGGCAATTATAGTTATAATACTGACAATTACCATAATAATCAATCGTCAGAGAGTGGCGAGTACGCAAGTACCACAAATGCCAATTACAATTACAACGTTTATAATGATAATCCAAATCCTAGTGATACGAATGCCTCAAATACAATGAATACAAATATCACAAACACAGCTACAGCTGTACCAACATACAACTCATCTAGTTACTATGATACCCTGAATACTCTAAATACTAATAATAATAATGAAAATATGACAACCAATGCTCCTACCAATTACAGTACTTCTAAGAATCACAATACAACGGCCACGAATAATTTACAAAGTAATGCGAATCAAAATAGTAGCGTACCACCTAATACTCCAAATTACGCATATAATCCAAATGTCTTCAAGTTTAGTGCTCCGAGTGCTCTTGATGCGGAAGTGCTGAAGGAGAGTGAGATTAAAACAATAAATTATGAACAAAAGGTAGATCCTGCGAAAGAAATGATCACTTTGAAGCATACAAACTCTTATATCATGAAGCAGAAAGCGGAACAGGCGAAATTTGCTCAGAGCAATACAGTGAATGCAGCATCCAAGTTGTCAAGCGGTAATCGCATTGCAATAAGACCTCACAGTTATCCATTGAAACCCATCCTGAAAAAAGACAAAAAGCTCGTGCCCGTTGTGAGGACGACAACCGCATCGAAAAATTTCGGAATCAAGTATAAAAAATGAATTTCCATGGTATATTTGTATTCTTTTTTGTGTTTTTGTTTCGGGGTACAATAAAATCACACTGCATCACATATGATGATGATCTATTGGAATATTTTGAAATTTCTATACTTCTTGCTCAAGTCTACGACGACGTCTCCCACCATTTCGACGGGACGTTGGACGGTTTCGCAGAAAGACGATGGTTTTGGCACCATTCGGTTCTTTCGAAACACCTCGCCAGTGACTGCGCCTACTCCCAAATTGATTGCGTCCTTTAAATACGGATAGGTGCGTTTCAAAGCGAGGCATTCGTTTTCACCGAGCCTGGGCATGTAAGCGGAGTGGACACCTTCTGGTCCCAGCCTAACCAAAGACGCCAAATACGGAAGGAAGTCCTCGATATGCCCCAATTGCCTTACGTAAGCGCATTCCAGGCAATTATTGTCTCCATTCATGGCACTAATTAGACTCGTTACGAAACGAGTCGTTGAGAATGCTGGCAGCAAATAACAAGAACCTGAATTCTCCATGTAATTAGCTTCTAATACATCGTGTTCATAATTTGCCACATTCTTTTGCACTTGTATTGCATCGACCTGAAACATTAATAAACATGTATTCATATATACAGCAATCAAACCAAGATGACGCACATTATCGAGTATTGCTATGGGTATAGCTTCAGATGAGACGACTACCGTGGTCTTCTTGCTCAAACCACCTATTGTTGGACACAGGATTATTGTTGGATCGCTTTCCAGGATATCTGCAATTTCAGAATTGGCGCATATCGAAGCCACATTTGATAAACCGATGATCCTTCTTGGATCGCAAACACCAGCCTTCTTATATTCCTGAATTCACAATTTATTAATTTGGAAAATACGAATGGTATAATAAACCAATCAATACCTCAACAATCATCGGAACAAATGAATTCACCGGCGGCGTAGATATGAGCACAATCGCTTTCGGATTGTATTCGATTATATGCAGGGCGAAGTGGCGAACGGCATCAAAGTTTTTGTAGAATAAAGTCCTTTGATTTTCCGTTAATTTTGACGGTTCGCCTCCACATATTACGATGATATCGCTGCCCTATCAAAATACAACTTCATTGTGTCTAATTAAATCAAATTGAAACCACACTTACTATAATTGATTCCCTCAATAATCTCGAATCCCCCTTGTAAGCCTTAATTTTCGTATTTGTATCTATGCTGCTTAAATCAATTGCCGTATCGCAAACGTAATCCGAGGTTCCATATAATCTGATTTCCTTTAAACCGGAAATCTGTTTCAGAAGCAGAGCTAAAGCCCTACCACTCGGCACTATCGTTCCCAAAATTGTTAATGTGTACTTTTTAGGTGGTTTGTACTTCGGTCTGGTCGCCATTGAACGAAACTGGTTAAGGACAGGCTTGTTGAACAAGCGGTTTAGCATAAAACGATTCATTGTTAACACAGAAATTTTGAATTTCACAATTTTTTGACAATTTATTTCATCACTATGGTGATAGTCCTTAAAATTTTGCATTTATATGAAAGTTGTTTTTATTTTATTATAATTTTTTAATTGATAGTAGTATAAATTATCTAAATAATAAATACAATTATATTAAACATATATTTTTAAAAATTTATGGTTTCATATAGTAGATTGCGTAAAAATAGTCTCGTCTCTCAACCGCTTATTTTGAATTCTTATTCGAATTAATTATTATAGTTGTAGATTGTATTAAGATAGACATATCCTAAAGATAAATATTTGAAATCTTTTTAAAATTTTAAATTCTTTCTTATAGGCAAATTCTTGACGGGAACTGTTATAAAAGTTGCATAATCTGTCAGTTCTGTGGCATCCCTTCCTGAGTAAAATCACTCTGGTCTCTTTTTATTATAAATACCGGCTCCATAAAATGAATCTATGCAAACTTGTTTCACGCAGGACATTGCAGTCCGCGCAACCTTGCACATTATTGAGAAGGGCGATCCAGTCTTCATCAACTCTAAATATGCCGCTCAAGGTAAGACATTGAAGAATTAGTTAATTATATAACATGTTAGGTTAAATGATCCGTCAAACTTCAAACTAAATCTTTTGTTGACGTCCAAAATTGACATAAACATTCACATAATTCCGATAAGATATGATCTTATGAACACTTATGATATTGAATTCAATTTTCGTTTAACGTTACTGTTATGATTTAATTTAAGCCTTGATTTTAATTGATTCAATAATTATTTTATAAAAGCTGTTTTTAAAAGTCATTGTTATGTTTATATTAATTATTTCTAATGTTCATAAAAAATGTTACATTTTAAAATTAATTGTAATTGTTAGATTATAAATAATGCTACATTGTTTAAAGATACATTGTTTTAAAAGATTTATTCAATTTAAGAATTGCAGTTTAAAATAAAATTTGCTATTGACAGCTGTGTTTTTGCACAGCATTATTGATTTATAATATATTTAATAACTTTAGTTGTTTAACGCATAGAAACGTTTCATGATATGTAATATCCAATTAAAACTACATTCTAATAATTGCATATATATGACTATTTGTGAGATTTCTGAATTATGCGGTAAATTGTGCGGAAAACCTTGAATTTGCACGTGACAATTACATTGTTTATTTATTTTTCTTTGTTGTATTTGCAAATAGGTAGGAGATAGTATTCCCAACGTTGACCTCTTCGAGGACACTCCAGCAAAGAAGGTGAATCTGGCTGAGTTGGCTCAAGGAAAGAAAATGATCGTTTTCGCCGTTCCTGGAGCCTTCACCCCGGGCTGCTCCAAAGTAAAAAAATTTCAAAATGCGCACAGGAAATTGAACGTTTAAATTTTAATTGCGAATTACTTGCAGACCCATTTGCCTGGATACGTCGCGAAGGCGACTGAATTGAAGAGTAAGGGCGTTGACGAGATCGTTTGCATTTCCGTTAATGATCCTTTCGTAATGAGCGCTTGGGGAAAGGACATGAAAGCGGAAGGTAAAATTCGTATGCTCGCCGATACCGCTGCACAGTTCACCAAGGCCATGGAATTGGATCAGACCATTGGACCCCTGGGTGGCATTCGCAGCAAGAGGTATTCGATGGTTATTGAGAACGGGAAGATTACTTCTTTGCAAGTCGAGCCCGATGGCACCGGACTCAGTTGCTCCCTCGCCGAAGCCATCGTATTGTAAATGCATATATATCGATGCGATAGAATTTCACATTATTTTAAGCTTGCGAATATCCATCCACTTTGCATGCTATCAATATTGTTTTTAAACATTATCTATTTATAGATGTACTTGTTTATTGTTTATAGAAAAATATCTCACAAGTAATAAAATAATTATAAAACTGAAGATTCGTAATTATTTCACAAACATAGTTTTACTTACATTCGTGTAACATGTGCATTGGTAGAAATTGAAAATCTTTAAGAATATATTTTAATATTATCAATATAGTAATATTTTATATAATAGTTTTAAATAAAATATTAGTTAATATGTTTTTTATAAATGAAAATGTAATATTTTACGGTTAGAAAACATTCAATTTGTTTTCTAACTCTAAATATATTAACAAACGGTATTATTACACATAAGTGAGTACATTTAAGTGAAATGCAATAGACCAAAACCAAGACACGACCATGAGGAAACCACCAAATCTTATTACGTTTTTTTAAGAAACTGGAAAATAAAATAACGCATTTTTTAAGAACTAAATGTTTTAAGAACTACTATAATAAAACCTAATTGAGTCGTATTTTCAACAAGTAGTTTCTCGAAAATTCAGATATGCATACTTTTTGATTTGGACTTGGCTACAGTTTACATAAAATGCGTACGTTTAAGATTATTCCACTAATTATCGTCACCAACTACATAATAACAATATCCGAGAAAGTCAACCGTTTCGTTTTACTTAGATGTAAGATTAATCTATAAAAGATAATCTACTGGATTTATCTTTAAGATTTGATTAAACATTATTATAATTCGCAACAAAGTTTTATGTATCCTTCGTTTACATTCTAAATATTGCAGGATATAAGAAAATTCACTAAAAGTTTATATATGTTATTAAATTTATCAAAGCAGAACAGTCTTGTATGTTAATGTATGCAACTTTTGAACTCGTAAAATAAAATCATTGTTTATTAATTACTTTGATAGTTAAAATATAGCTATAAACGAGTTGAGTTAGCAATTGAATAACTTATTTCCATTTTTTTCAAATCATGTACTTTCATATACAGGTATCCCCCGACTTACGGACTCGTTCCGTTCCAAAGGGTTGTTCGTAAGTCGAATTTGTTCGAATTTTAAAAATTACAAAATATACTTATCTTAGCACACTTTGTTATGGTTTTTATTTTTATATATGTTAAATTCCGTATTACTGACTGCATACATTTGATAAAATAGATCATAATAAACAAAATATTAAATTTTATTAATGGATAATTTGACTGTTAAAACAATAGTCAATTTTTTATCACTATATATTGTAAGAAGTTAGAGCATTTGGAATTTTGTTCGTAAGTCCGGAAGTTCGCCCCCCAACTTACCTGTATTTTAACTCAATTTATATATTATAAAGAACTTAATATCTAAATATAATATTATTACACTTACTTTCCTAAAAACGAATTTTAATATGTGGGGTATGAAATAAAATTATGACGAAATCTATTGATCCACCTCAAATCATCAAACACTTATTTTATTTTATAGAACATACGCAGTTTATTTACCTAATTATAAATGTTATTATAAATAAATTTTTAAATAAAATGTAATCAACCGAAATATTCCAACATCATTTCGAACATTACTTACAATTTGAGAAAGAAGTGATTTAAATAAATCTATTAATATATCTCTATGAAAGCTTTAAATATGTAAATTCAGATTATTGGTATATTATTCCATTTTTTATACATTATTTTGGACTTTTGGTGACATCTAAATATTTTTTAAACGTTTCTCTAAACAAAAATAAGTGAAAGACAGAACAAGCGAATGTGCTGTTCTTTTTTTTTTCGTTTTCAATATTTATTTCAAATAGTTATAAAAAAAAAACAAATAATATATCTTAAAGAGTTATATCTCCAATGAAAAGAATGCTTCAAATTTATTATATCACAGTTGAAATTTTACTCTTCGCATATTATAGTTTTCCAAAAACACTTTAATTTATTAAAATAATAATTTAAGAAGAAACAGTTTAAATAAACTTAATTAAAAATAAAGAAATATTGTACACATGCACACTATGTATATTCTTTTCGTGACGTCATTATATAATAATATATAAATTGATGATATATAGTTTTAGCTTTTTACTTTTGTTTTTTTAGATATGTGACACATATAACTTACATCGATACAAACTACAATATTAAAATAATTGCGATCTAGTTAATAAGTCAGTCGAAATCGATTTGTTTATATTTTTTTTTGGATGTTAAGTATAAAAGGTTGCTTGTTTTTTGATATTTCAAATAAATTAAAAGTCATCCCTTATTTTGTTGAAGCCCGAACTCCTGGGGAGGAACTCCTTCAAGGAGTAATACTTGGTCCGGTCGTCGTGGTCGATATTGGTGACGTGCTGGAAACAGCACGGCAAAGAGATCTGCGTTTTCTGTGGCAACGGCGACGGTTTCGGGGCCTTCTTCTCCTTTTTCTTCTTCTTTTTGCCGGGCATCGAGAGGGAAATGTTTTCCGGATCGGAGACGAGTCGCTCGATATGCGTCCACATTTCCCTTGCTGCTTCTTCGATGTCGAAACTGAATCCAACTTGGACCGTGTGATCTTCGGAATAGTACATTGTGTGGAAAGCAGACGAGGACACTTTGTAAGACGTCAGATTGTCTATTGTGTCGCGCCAAAGCATGAAACAAGTCCCCCTTTCTGCGAGCACGATTTGTATTCGACGCTTATTCCTGGACCTCGCCTCGCCGACATCCAAAATCACCACAGGAATGCCGGGAAACTTGATCTGCCAGTCTTGATCATTTGGCGTTTTCGTGTACAGATTTGCTAGCGATCCACTCACAAATACCTGAAACAATAACAACCGTCATTAAACACTGTCTTCTCTAACAATACAAGACACCACAACCTCCACTGTCATCATTCTTAACGAATCTGAATAATTAAGTAAGATTATGTTGGAACAATACTATAAACTATATTCACTATCAATTTACTTAACGAAAAATAATGTTATTCATAAATAAATGTTAACTAATTTTATTCAACTCAATAAATATAATTAATCTTAGTTAATAATTATAATTATTAAATGTAGAGAAGAGAAGATACGTGCGCCAACAAATGAAACTGTCATTAATTCCCCGGGAATCGGAATTGGGCGAATTCAATTTCCGCTGTTATCTTTTTCCACTGAAAACGTGTGTCCCGTTTTCAGCTACATGAAATCCATTTAAACTCGCAATTATATTTCCGCTACATTTTGGAACATTTCCATGCCAGGAAGCGGCGAAACGTGTGAATGTCCTTTTTTTATTATATACATAAATGAACGTAAGAAACGCACTTGCACAAAGGACACCGCCATCGGCGCAATTTAAGGAATTATGTGATAAATTAAATAATGTGCCCTAAATTGTGCGCCAAGTGGAAAATGAATAAGATATATACGTCTCCGGTTATTGGATTTAATATTGGATGATGTAACGTTTCGTGCTGTGCGTTTTACGTATTTTTATTGTGATTGCTTCGGAAGAGATTGAAGTAAGACGGGTTGACATTTCGTAATAAACGAAATTTGCTCAGTTTATTTTTATATATATATATATTTTATTTTCTGCTGAAACCCACGCGATATAACGTGCTTATCAAAGCGATATTCTGGGGCGCAATCGATACGACCTCATAAATCAAACTAAATTCGTACTTCGATACATTATTTTTTCAGTCGATCGTAATGTCCACATGGGTGTGTTTCTTTGTTATCAATTATGATTAATATGCGTACGAGTTTGTGTGCAGTTATGGACATTGGTACACGCCCGTATTCATGATGTCCCCCATGCTATGTAAATATTTGAAGTAAAGGCGGTTTGGGGGGTTAGAGGAACGCACGCAAATTACTCACCTATCTGTTTGTAATATGAAATTACCACGAATGCACTTGAAACCGTATCGATTTAAATCAAGAACATATAAAATTCTGTCGTCGATTTCCATATGATAAATGGAGCGAGGCCTCCTCTTCGCAATCCGAACTTTGGAAGGGATTATTTTTTTTAATGTAGTTTCAAACAAATGTTTCGCTTCTCACAAGAGCGTTCGACAAATAATTATAAAAATGTGTATCAACACATGTATACGAGCATGTGTCTTACATGCGTGCTCTTAATATTATTCGTGTGGGAATTTACAGAAGATATAATAGCTTTTAAGTTATTATTATAAAATGACATCCCGCATGCTATGATATAAACTTGTTATTACTTAAAAAATACATTTACATTCATACTGAATTTAAACATAATGATTGTTGGGTTGCATAAATAATATGTTCTAAATAATAATATTTTGATACATATGATTTGTTGTTCGAATTTTAAATTACACTGAAATTTATTGCGCTTAAAATATTTTATTAATATTTTATTATATTAAGTAAATGTGGGTAGAAAACCTATGGTTAATAGCTCTTTTCAGCAGTTTTTGTTATATTATTATGATTATTGTATGAAAAAGTTTTTTTTTGTTATTTATTATTGTAATAAAGATTATTAATATTATTAAGTAAATTAGATTTTTTTATATCTACATAGATTTTTAAAGAATTATAAATGTTTTTAAATTTTATTTTGTTATTTTATTAACTTTTCAAATGATGTAGAAATTATACTGTTTCTTAGAGAATGTAAAAAATATATATGTTTTAGTTCAAATTGTATATAAACAGTTGTAATAATAGTTAGTAACACGATTCAAATAGAAATGCATTGAATAATGAAATCATAATTATAAAGTATTTTTCGCAGAAATTAATCTAACACAATGAAACCATTCTTAGATTTTGCTCCTAACAAAGGCAATTAAATAAATCTTCGCACGATACATCAAAGTTCAAAGTTAAGAGAATTCTATATGGAAGAAGGAAATCAAGAACTACATGAGACAGTGAACACAATAAAAAATAATAATTTTCGTAGCCATAGGTAGGTGTAGAATGAATCATGCCCTGACCTACAAAAATACATTTCGAATCTCAACCATCGTAGCTCAAGTACATTTTAATTGCAAGAGGAAAACGCGGATTTCAAAATACGAAAGAGTAAACGTATTAAATGCGAGAGTTTGAGAATAATTGCAGTCTTAATGGAACCGACATATTTTCATAATTTCATTTTAATATGCATTAAATTCGCGTAACAATTAAGTTTCTGATGATTCGCTTTGGTAAGATGAACGCAAAAAAATAACATCTCTGTTGAACTGTTGGAAATGTTACCTGTGTCTTCAATCCCCTGAAGAATGTTTCGACTTGCTGCCGTTCATCGTCGCTTATTCTACCGTCGGTCGGACTTTCGGCCCTGGGACTTTCGGTTTCCCTGTCGTTCTCCTCGCTCTCTGCCCGTCCCTCGCTTCCATCCTCCTTCTCGCTGTAACCGGAAGTGGTAGTACTCGAGTCCCCGCTTCCCTCTCCGGTCGAGGACAATCTTCTGCGATGGTCCTCCCTGTACAGCAGACCGTGGTACGAGTCGTATTTCGAAAGAACGCGATTGTTGTAGCCGTACTCCGGCTGCTCTTGGTTATTCGAACGTATTGTCAAAGTCGACATCCGGTGTTCAATTGGAATCGTCGATTGATACATGTTGTCACCTGAAAAGGACAAATTACAATTAAAATGACGTCCCATTAAATTAAAAATCAACATGGAAATACCTAATCTAATCAGGTTGCATTATAATTAAATTTTACATTAAACTAAAACATGTCTAGTTTACTATCGTATAATCACATAAATTACAACTGTTTCTAGTTAAGTGCAAATGTTTTTTTTTACAATAATAACGTTAACCCTTTTTGTTTTATTATTATTACTGTATGAGAATTTTTAATTTTCTTTTTTTATTGTTGTTGCAATAAATATTATTATTATTAATTACATTTTGTCATACTAACAATTTTTTCCATTTTTTTTTCTATTTTAATATTTGGACAGAAGGGAAAACGCGTACCAATTTTTTTTTGTATAATCCGTAATTGGAAAACCTGATTAATGCGACCGCCGACGCAACGCTATTCGTAATGGAAAAACTCATTTTTTTTGTGAGTGTGCATGAGTTAATGTCGTTAGAGCCGACGAAATGCAACGCGTTTAGTTTGCGCAACACAATGGTAGCAACGAATGCAAAAAAAATAAAAAAAAACTTAAAATCTACTGAAGAAGAATGATCAACTGTGTGCAATGTTTTCGTTTTAATGCCAAAGTATCTCATTGTTCAGCGCCGTAACAATGCGCTCAGTTTTCGATTTTGCTGGATGCGTAACCTTTCAACCTGGTTTTGTTGTTCTTTTCTTTGCACTGACCTTCATATGGGCAGCATTTCGAATGCGATTAGTCCGAAAGTTGTGTTCACTTCACTTGCGTCGCGTTTCGAATTCGATTGAATTGGGTTGGATGTTAGTAATCCATTATCGAGGATCTTATCAGATTCGACTATATCGATGATTATTTTTAAATTTTATTTGCTTATTGGAGCAGTTTTTACGAAATTAATGAAAACACAATTTCCCACTCAATATTCATAATTACCGGCGACGATCGAATGAAATTCGTTGATTAAAATTAATTGTATCGCCGATTGCAATTCGATTAAAACCCTGTTATACCGCTCCATTCGCAATTGATTATATTTACTACTGAAGCCCACTTAATTATCTCCAATTAGTGAAAAGAGTATTTGTATCATACAAAATGTTTTTTTAGAGATTTAAAGTTGCAATAGATTGAGGAATCAGTATTTGGCTTATGATCATACCACCCATCAAAATCATGTATCTTGCAAATTTTGATGTTAAGACTTTAGTATATTCAAAGAATGCCACCCATCAAGTCGTTATAAAAATAAAGGCTGTTATTGTTCATTTCGAATATTAATAAACAGCTTTGTATGCAATGCATTGAAGATTAAACGTAGAGTGTATGTCTTCAATATTATGCTGATCCGTGAAAATGATGTTGACGTTACATGTGCGGCTAGCTTCGCGAAATTGTTATGGCTTAAGAAATTGCAATTGGTTATATTTATATTTTAAACATGCACTTCGAGCGAGACGTCCATGCGAATATGCATATGTATAAATATGGATTTATAGCGTATTGTTCCACTTACGCAGTGCGAGTTATGAAAAACAGAGTAAAACATGAGAAAGATATGTTCGGTGCTTCAGCGACTAGTTTTAATTAGGAGTCTCAAGTAGCGTTCCATTACAGAATTTCCAGCAATATTCAGCACCTGCATTTCTGTTGAAATATACGAATTGCGTACCGAAGGCGGCGCTGCAACACGATAAGAAGTGTAACGCTTGCTAAAAACCCATTAAGCATCTTTTTATTACTGCGAGACTCATTCATCAGATTCATATTCCCGTATACCGCGCCTGGATTCACCGCGAATATTGCAGGGAGAGAGAAAAAGGGAAGAAAAAAAAAACAGTTACGTAACACGATGCGAAGCGAGACGAAGCATTCATATCACCCGGTTTCGAAACCAATGATGAACCTTAACGACTCGAAAGTGGCATTGTCTCTGGCCGGTTTCAAATGTGGTAACATTCTCTTCTACTTCCACATTATCCGATTGATCTTAAAAAAAAAGCGTACTCATACTCATGAGCAGCAAATACGTACACACACACACAAAGAGACACACATACATCTGGCATTTCATCTCTGATCGTCCCCGTCTTAAAAAGCGAAAGCGCCTCCATTAGGAGCACACTCATTTTTAGCTTTCAAACTTTCAATCCACCGGTTTTAATTGATTTTTTCCGTTTACACATCCGTTTCACTTAATCCACAAAGTAGTTAAATGTATCTAAAAAAAGAGAACATTACGACATAAATACTGAATTGTGTTTTCCGGTTTGCGTTTCGTCTGCTCAAGATTTTTATTGTTTGAAAATAATTACGAAATTGGAACTGGCATTCAGTTGTAATTCACATTAATTAGAACATGTTTTCCAAATACAAGAGAACGACTTTAATTTACAAATGGTTTGTTTGTGCTTTATGCTGCAGCCGTTCGTCACATGTGTGCACTTTGCGACAAAGTATTGGAATAACAGTAAGAAATGTCAATAAACATTTATTTGCGCTCTTGTATTCCACAAGTTTCTTGTAATTTATTGACATTACATTTTAAACTTCTTTAAGCTAAATAAATTAATATACAAGAAATCGATTTGCTAGGTCTTAACTGGATACTTACAAGTATTACGTATAAACGAAAAATGTAGTAAATAACCTTTGAAAACAAACGACGAATAAAACCTCGTCCTTAGCCTGAATAGATTAAAGTTAAAATTAATAGTTATCAATAATGATCATTATTCCTTCCGGTAAATTATAAACCTTAAGGCCATTTTTGGAACAACGATTTGTATAAAAAAAATAAAGTAAAAACTACATTCTCAAATCATCTAATTTAGAAATAAAAATATATTATATTATGTAATTTACAATAACAAGTTTTAAAAGCGAATTGCTTAATTTATTTTCATGAAGTCTCTCGTTTGAAACGCCAACAGTAATATGCCATTACGCTAGCATTCCGGCGTCTGTGGTACCTTCTTTCCATTTACTTTACGTCTTGATGAAATCTCTTATACAGCTTTTACGCGTTGTGATTTTCCAGGAAATTGCCAAGGAGAAATTAGCTTTTGCGCTAATACTTATTTGGTTCATTTCTAATTCGATATATTTCCATCATCTCATATACTTAATTTTATTAATCACATAAATATATAATACATATATTTCGATCGTTTTTACTTACTGAAATAGCTTACGCTTTAGTGCAATTTTTATATCAACCAAAATTGTTCAACTAAGATATTCATTATTTAGTTTAGCATAAGTTATAAATTGTATATTAATATAGTATATAGAAGTTTTAGTTTTTTCAAAAATGATTTTTCGCTCATTAAAAGTTAAGGAATAATTATGAAAATACAGGTGGGAACTACGAACTCCGTATATTATGCTTCTGTTATCGGAAATGCAGGCTTCTAATTACGCGAATGCAGGTAATTTGCAGACCCAGCATAAGTGCATCAACATAAATGAATCACTTGGAGTGTGTCTCCGGAATTGCGAAACTGTAACCCGAACGGCGCGAAAATTGATTTGCTCCGGAGTTAATCGCTGCGTAACTCATTGAATTCCAATTAACATTCTACCAGAGATTGCGTAATGTGTAAATAAATATACGAGTAGTACTTCTCTTTCGTACTTCCAGTAAAGTTTGCATTTGGAAACAAATTAATGCGTGTGTGGTTTGAGGAGAAAGTCGCGACCGATGAATTTCTTTAATTAATTTCCGTCCCAATGCAAATTGAACACAACAATTGTTTTATACTATTCCGAGTCCGACTCTGAAACTCCATTAAACTACCAAGCTCCTATCTTTTAATGTCCTTCGTTCACTCACTCACTCGTTCGACGTCAATTCTATCGTGCAATGACATTTAGAGAGTCAGCCTTTAATTATTTCCCACATGCCTGTTTCAATAAACTGCATTAAATTACATTTTGACTGTGCAGCAATGATATTTTTTGTAGTCCCATACCGAAAAGTACAGGCCAAAAGATAAATTTAAAATAATTATAAGACGTGCCTCCTACAATAATTAAAAAAAAGAAACAATGAACAATCGTAGCCTTTTGTTTCGGTACATGAAATTAGAATTTTTAAATAGTAGAATAATATTAACTCCATGCTCAATATTTAATAAGATAATTTTTCATGGTAAACGAAATTAAACCGTAATATCAATACGGAAAAGCAATGCATAAGAGGAAATAACTTAAAATCTAGTATACGGTTTATTACGTAAAGAGTATAGAAAGAAAACAAACTAATAATGTCCACGTTTTGTTCTTAATGGAACATGCAAATATAAGGAAAATAATCAATTTCCTTTATCTATTTAAAGTATATTTAAATAATTGAAAATTTACCATAGATATAAACTTTCTGTTGTCTTTTTAAAGAATTGGAAGAAAAATAGAAATATTAAATGATATATTAATCATATTACATTTAAATTTGTTTTGATAAAAAAGTTGTGTTTGTCTTCTTAAGAAAATTTAAAGAAAACTATTTTAAAATATTGGGTGAAGTAGAAAGTTCTGTATTCTGTATTGATTTTCAAATATTATTTGTAAGTGGAAATAATAAATTAAGTTACCGAAAGAAATAGCCCAAAAATACTAAATCTTTAAAAACCACTGAATCTTTAAAATTGTATTTTATAACGAAAGAAAATTATCATACCTTCGAAAGAAGTTACTAAATTTAGTTCAAATAGATTATAAATAATTTAGTAAGTTATAGAAAATGTATGCTTTCCTTCATAAAATCAATTTTCTTCAATTTTAGTTTGAGAAATTATAAAAATAATTTTATAACAAAGAAATAATTAGACGAAAACTATCAGTTTATGAATATCAAAGTGTTTATATAATTGTTGAATTAATGCATTTAATATTCCTATGCAAGAGTTGATCGCCTACTTAAATTATCGAATAAATCACTGAGGCTCCTCCAACCTGGAAGTGACTTTAAATTTCTTGCGCTAACAAGAAAGATATT